TTTTGAACATTAAAACATGAAATCTGATTTTAGAATTTGAATCTTGAAAAGTAGGGTTGCTTGTAATTACCACTAATTTTTTTTCCTCGTTTTTAGAAAAGAACAAGGCGAAGAGATTAGTTGTATTCAATAAATAAGCAAAGAACAAAAGTATACATCTTCTTGGATTTGAATTGGCCACTCGATCTTATGCCTGTTTAACGTGTTCTGTTTGTCAAATTCAATTACACGTCTTTCTTCTTTATATAAATTTTCAGTTAATTTAACAATATTTAAAGGAAAATAACGCAGAAAAAATTAATTTTGCTCGCTCTAAAAAATCAATCGTGCTATGCGTACATTATGGCCTACCTGCTTATTTACACAGTTACGTGGCCATTGAGAAAGAGAAAGACGTGGCCACTGAGAAAGAAGAAAAAAAACATAAAGTGCAGCTAAAGAAATTGACCCGGCCCAAAATTAAAAACCCCCAAAATCAAACAACCCATATCACTGAATGACAGGAAAATTCCCCCAAATATTGAGAACCCACGAGGGCGATAGAAACCTTCAATGAATTGGAAAAAATCTCCAAAAAATTGCAAATCGTCGAAGGCGATGGAAAACCCTACCTCCAAGATTTGATAACCCACGAAGGCGATTGGAAATCACGTACTAAAAGGTGAAGATTGTTTGTTTTGTTGAAGCAGAAGGAGAAAATCCAATGTGTGCTAAAAGGAAGTCCATTTCGGACGTCGTCGCCTCCGGCGGAATCTCCAACGCATGGTATAGTATGATATTTTTGGTGTGAAGAAATCTTTTCTTTCATTGTGGACGATGAATGACTTTTGAAAACCAAATTTCATTATTATTTCGAAGTTAGAAGTTTTCGAATTTGTAGTTGCTTATTATGAGTTCAAATTTTATGAGTTCAAATTCCACTATCAGTTCAAATTTTTTTTGAATGTACAATGTTTTGAACACATTTTGTCGAAACCCACCACGCTCGAAGAGGAAATGGTTTGTTGTTCACCTGACGAATTAAGGGCTTTTGAAGTAAGTCACTAGTAGAATTTTAAATTTTGAAATTAAGCATGATGAATTGTTTAACATCTTTTCTGACTCATTGCCACAAACTAAAAAACAGTTCTGTGTTCATTTTTGCACGAGTTGATGTGGTTGTGGAGGCCTCAGATGTGAGTTTTTTTAGTCTTGTTGACTAAGTTACTTCAAAGGCGGCTCAAAGAGTTGCAAATGCATCATGTAGACAAATGTGCTAATGTGTATTGATTCGTAATATGTTGGTTGTTTGTGTGTTAGAATGACAGGAAAGAATTTCGGACTCTGTCATAGCTATAGAGAGAAGGGGCACTTCTTTGAGGATTGCCCGAACAAACGACGATGCCCTTGGTGTAAACATGGATTCGTGAAGTGCTTCGAGGTTGAAAAGGAGACGAAGAATAAGGGAAAATTGTTCAATTGTTGTAGTGCTAAGTGTAGGTACTAGGAATGGGTCGATGGAGGAGGGTGCGGTGAATCATCAAGTACCGTTAACTCAAATAATTCTACAGTACTCGAAGAAGTTCAAAGTCTAACAAGCACGTTTCATGCTCTGTGTTGGGTAATTGGAGAAAAAGACATTGAAATTTCTGTGACTATGACAATACGCAAAGGCAATGGAAGTGTGGAAGTGGATACTAAAGGGAAGGGGCAGGCTTGATTGGTGTTTACATTTTCTTAGCATGGATTTAAATGTATGGTTGTTTATGGTAACGAAGATGGTTTTTGCCATTTGAATTGCAACCTCAGTTGATGTGTAATAGCAGTTTTTGAATTTGTAGTTGAGGAGTTCAACAAGTCATTATAATGTAATGTTCCTGGTGTTTATATTAGTGACCTGTAATTGGTGTACATTGTATGTTGTATGTATCAGTCTCAACCTGATCAAAGGAACAAATAAACTATGACACAAGCCATAATCCACATAATAAACACACCAAAACATTTATCATGTCTTACATATTGGGCAACAAATAAACTACAAGCCAAAGTTGTGACCACAACTTATTTTACACAACAAACTGCTAGGACATAATATATGTAGTCACTAGAAAATGGTCCAGTGATTGTCTTCATCCAAGGTCACAGTCTTGCGCCATGTTGGTTAGGTACGTTTTGATAATAGTATGGCATTGCATTTCCTACAATACAAATATAAAAGTTAGCCCATGAACTACAGAAAGTGAGGAATCGAAATGACATATTTTAACCATATAATTATCTATTTTGTTGAGTATAAAAGTTGTTGAAGACGAAAGGATGAACTTGGGAGACTGTAAATGTTGTGTGATCACAATTGACATCACCCTATATCAACTAAAAATGTAAATAAACAACGTAGCAATCAAATATTTTGCACAACTTCATTGTACGCACCAGTGAGAGTTGTGAATACGAAATCGGTGAAGGCATGTCGTATTGTACTTGATGGTGTGCCAGAGCGATAGGTGCACCCCCAAGGCTCTTTCCCTTGCCTGAACTCGTTTTTGCCTGCATAACCAAGAGATTACATCATTATTACTCTTACGCACTTTCATAATATACAAAATAATTTTGAAACATACATTTGCCTTACTGGAACTCGATTCCAAAGGGCTTTTCTTTCGAAGTTTCTTAGGCACGCCTTTTCTCTTTGAACATGTTGGATTTTGTACGCTTCCCCAGTCAGTATGATGTGATGCTCCACTCTCCAAAGTTAGTTGGATAATCTATTGGGGCATATCATTACTTCCGCTGCTCAACCTTGTCTTCCTTATTGTTTGTTTCTTGCATTCTATCCACTCCATTATGTCTCGGGTCTGTTCGTCGTCATCTGCAGTCACGTCCTCAAGCGAAGCAAATGATTGACACATTTTGTCATATCTCATCTGTCCAGGAGTGC